TGAGGGTCCGATGGCTTAAGAAAGGTGATAGTAACACTTCATATTTCCACACAGTCACAAGGGTGAGGAGGAAGCGAAATTTCGTGGTTGGTTGGACAAATGGGGCAGGTGAATGGATCACTGATGAAATGGGGAAGGCGGATATTTCTATCAATTGCTCAGACGGTAACAACTGAGATGATTAATGCTCTAACAACAGTAGTCCTGGCGTCGGAAGTTTGAGGAATGGTATTCTTTCTTGATTCCAAACAGGCGTCAGGATCGGATGGAATCACTGGAAAATACTTCAGAGCTTTTTGGAATATCATCGGTGAGTTTGTAGTTGAAGCAGTTTGCTCGGTCTTTCGAACGGATCAGATGTTACGAAGCTTTAATCACACTTGGCTGGCGTGTATCCCCAAAGTGGATAATGTGGAAAGTATATGACAGTTGAGACCTATCAGTATGTGCCAATTTGTGTACAAAATTATTGCCAAAATAATGTCCGAACGATTGGCTCAATTTCTCCCCAAGATTATTTCATCGGGACAAAATGCTTTCATTCGTGGGAGACAAATAGTGGATAAAGTTCTTATTGGGCAACAATTGATGCATTACATGAAGATAAAAACAAAGGGTAAGAACTAAGAAGAGATATATGGCTCTGAAGGTTGATATGGAAAAAGCCTATGATAGAGTCAAGTGCTCGTTCTTACTCACGGTTTTGGACAAAATGGGTTTAGTTCGACTTAGATATGGTGGATTCAAGAGTGTTTAAGCTCCTCATCTTTCTCTATCCTTATGAATGGTACACCCGCTGGTTTTTTCAAATTGTCGCATGGACTTTCATAAGGTAATAATCCCTTATCTCCCTGTTCTTTTTCATTTGTACGAAGGGGTTTGCGACACTCATTCGAAAAGCCATTAAATAACGAAAGCTAGCTGGAGTTAGGGTTAGCCTTAGAGCTCCGCGCATCTCCCGTATGTTCTTTTCGGATGATTCATACTTATTCCTCAGGGGCTCGATGCAAGAATGTGAAAATCTGCTTGGGGTATTGAATGAGTATGAGGAGCTTAATGGGCAACGGATTAACCTTACTAAATCAGCAGTGTGTTTTAGTAGGAATATTTTGACTACAGATCAAGAAATCCTTGCCCATCGACTCGGAGTAGGAGCGGTAGGGGTGTACGATAAATATTTGGGTCTGCCTACCTTGGTTGCTTAGTCCAAAATAGCTACATTATGATACTTGGAAGAGAAATTGTTGCAATGTTTACAAGGATGGAAGCAGAAAATGCTCTCGTGGGCAGCAAAGGAGACGCTGATTAAGTCAAGTGATGCTTCTTTACCACACCATGTTATGTCTTGCTTCAAGCTTCCACTGTCCCTTTGTCATATTCTCGATAACATGTGGCCCGATTCTAGTGGGGGTTGAAGGGGGTCGTCCTTGTATTCGCTGGATTTCCTGGCAGAATATGTGTAGGAGTAAACATGATGGGGGGATGGAATTTCATTGCTTTGAACATTTTAATCAGGCTTTATTGGCTAAGATTGGTTGGCAATTCACGATGAACCTCATTCTCTTCTGGCCTAGTTTTATAAAGGGAAATACATTCCTACAAGCTCGTTCCTTACAACGGCCGCGCGGTCTTGTCCATCGTGGGGATGGTAGAGCATTCTTCATGGCCGCCTCCTGCTTCAGCGAGGGTTGCATTGGTAGATTGAGAATGGGCCTCAAGCCTCTGTCCAACAATCTAGTTGGGTCCCTAATTCTCACTCTCAGCCTCCTCTCTGCTACCCTTTTGAAATTTTGAATGGAAGTGACCCTAAGGTAGCCAAGATTATGGTTCCAGGGGGAGGAAGATGGTGTCAACAATCTCTTGTGCATATGTTTCCATTGGACACAGTTCCTACCATTAAAGTTATTCCTTTACCACATATGGAGATTGAGGATACCTTGGTTTGGTACGATACGTGTGATGGAGTGTTTACGGTCAAGTCTGCATATCACCTTGCGGTTTTGATGGATAGACAGCCAGGGGATGGCGACCAGCAGTGAGCTGGATGGATAGAACTAGCTGGATGCGTATGTGGGATCTTTTGATTCCTTAGAGATCAAAGTTCTATCAAGATTCGAGGGAGAATCTTTTTTAAGAGATAGGGAATGATGCGATATCGACTAGAACGACTCCTTTCATGTGTAGTTATCTTTACGAATAGGCAACAGCTATTGATCAATATTATCCTCATTTTATCCATTAAGAACGCTCCCAATTGATCTCTAAATCGTCGAATTCTAATCTTCATTTTTGGACCACGAGAATTAAATATCGCGCTAGTCATCGCATCAGTTCCTATGGCAAGTTTTCCACCATATTCTCCCAACTATGGAAGCTCTTATTGAGAAAAAGGTCCAGGTGCTACCTCGTTGTCTGGTGTGTTGGCGGAATCTGAAACGATGGAGTATCTCTGTTTGGAATGCGCAATTACTCAAGCCCTTTGGATTCATTCTAGTCTAGAGCATCTAGGATAAGGGTTACCTTGTCAGACTTCCTCCCTCTTCCTCAAGAAATGCCTACTTCGGATGACTCAGCATGATCAAATTATGGCTCTGGTTGCGGTCATGTGGAGGATTTGGAAGTCCATAAATTAGGTTGTTTTTTTAGGGAAAGCAATTTCCAATTGTTCCTCTTATTCGTCAATACCAACAGGAACTCTAGGAATGGAGTCATTTGCCAAAAGATAGGTTGCCTCCGAATCAGCTCCCGTCGTTGCATAGTTTGGATGCGGGTGGCTCGCGTTTTGTTACATGTATGTGGGATGGTACAGTATGTGTCGGATCACATTCAACATGGGGGATAATCTTGAAAGATGAAGGGGGCTCGGTGGTCTTAGCCAGGGGTTGTGTTTTGAGGATATGGATGACCATGTTTAGGTTGACACTATTGTTTTCCGGGAAGCTATTTAGTGGTGTCAGGATTGTGGATTCACTCAGGTTCAAATTGAAGGCGACACTAAGGTGGTCATTGACATGATTAATTGGAAGGACGCGCAGGATAATCGTGTTGGGGTCATTATTGATGAAATTATATGTATGTTGACACTAAATAGTAATTTTCATGTTTGATTCGTAGGTCGGATTAGCAATAAGGTAGCACATCTTGTAGCTCAAAAGACCCTTTCTTCGACTCTGACCTCGTGTTGTATTTTTTTATTTTTGTGTCTGGGTTGACTTCAGAATGTAATCTCTATCTTTAGTTTAATTAATACGATTATCTATTTTTTTTTAAAAAAAGACGAACCACAAGGTGTGACAGCCTGATATGGAGCTAAAACAAGTAGCCAAAATCCGGAAAAAATCCCACTGTACACATGTTTTTAAAAAAAAATTCTCAAAATACACATGTTATGAAAAAAATTCCCAATCTACGCATGTTTGGGCCTTCACCGCGTCAGACTAAAGCGGTGATTGCTTCACCGCGTTAAAGAAGAGCGGTGATTGCATCACCGCGTTAGAGAAAAACGGTGATTGCATCACCGCTGTAGACAAAAACGGTGATAGCTTCACCGCATTCAACGGTCGCGGTGAAGGCCTGACCTGCGTCGAATCTTTAAAAAAAACGTAACTTTGTGCTCGGTTATCCGATCGTGGTGAAATTTTTTTTGATTCCGCATAATCTTTAAAAAAACGTAACTTTATCATAGACAAAATTTCGGAATGTACTTGGATTCCTAAAAAAGAAAGGTAAACTTATTCTCAAAACCCCGTATATCCAAAATAATTCATTTTTTGAAAACTCTCTCCTACTAAAAATTGTAGTCCTCAAAAAGTTATGCAAATTATAAAAAAATTCATGATTTTCGGATTGTGGAGCACAAAGTTATGGTCGTTCAAAGTTTGACGAAATCGAAAAAAGGCTCATTCGGGGTAGCAAACGACGTTTTTTCGGGACGAAGGCGGGACTCCGGCGGTTTGCAGCTTGCAAGATCTCGAAAAATTATGCGGAATCAAAAAAAATTTCACCACGATCGGATAACCGAGCACAAAGTTAAGTTTTTTTAAAGATTCGACGCAGGTCAGGCCTTCACCGTTTTTCTCTAACGCGGTGATGCAATCACCGCCTTCCTCTACAGCGGTGATGCGATCACCGTTTTCGTCTAACGCGGTGATGCAATCACCGCTCTTCTTTAACGCGGTGATTCAATCACCGCCTTGGTCAGACGCGGTGAAGGCCCAAACATGCGTAGATTGGGAATTTTTTTCATAACGTGTTTATTTTGAGAATTTTTTTTAAAAACATGTGTACAGTGGCAAATTTTCCCCAAAATCCGAACTACTCGACCAAAAGTATTCCATTGTTTCCCCGTGAAATGTACAGTGAATAGCTCCCGGTGACTGTACCGTATCTTTCTAAGGAGAGATGGGAAGGGCCTCTTGTCTTACACAGATTTTTTTTCTTTGTTGTATTTTAGGGGCCCTTCCCTAAACACCTACAAAGCTCTTGACAAAATTTACACACAAGCATTCGAACAAAAAAAAGATAAAACCCCCTCCTTAGCCATCCTATGAATGTTACAGCTTTCCTTTTGGTTAAGGTACAAAGGAAGATCTTCAGCCTCTGCCTGCCTGCAACTGACCTTTTAACAAAGAAACACGATTTTCCTTCCTCCTCTTCCCAGCTTCATCTTCATATGCAAATACAACATGATCGATCATAATTCTGGTCAACATTTAATCGACCACAGGATCGTGATCCCCCATTACTACCACGAGCTCTGCAACCCTCCATTGAAATGAAGCATCCCCAGGACTTGGAAGGGTTACAGACACTAACTTTTGCTGTTAACTTGGAAAATTGGGGCAGGAAAAAGAAATAATGAAAGAATCACACCCACGCTAATAAAAAAAGTTGGGCCGTCAGCAGCAGCAGCAGCAGCAGCGAGCTAAATATGTATCACCATCTTACTTCCTGATCAAAGAAGAAACCAACCAACCCAAAAAAATCTCTCCCGGCTAGGGTCACGACAATTCTACTGCCTTGTTGATCCGGCACATGCAGTCAGGGCATGGATGAGAATATACCGAGTCATTCATTCTCTTGAATTCAAACCCCTTGGAATCACTATGAGACCGCATGTTCAACATTTGCCGTTTGAAACTCTTCCACCTGGGTATATGCAAGAAATGCGGCCAGATATCAACACAGAATGCGTGAAGTCACTGAAGTGCAATGGAGCTGATTTTATCTTAATTTCTTGACAAAGTATGAAATTTCAGTTCTTGAGTAACTAACTGTCCGCAGGTTCTCTCTATCGCTGCACTAATGTTTTTCTAGTTAATAAGTTCACAAAAACAGTGGATCTACTTACAGGGATGGAAATCAAAAGGGAGAACACTTACCCTAGTGATGTATTATCAAGCAGCAAAGCTAACTTCCGCTTGTCTGGCCTAATTGTCTTGGCATGCCCACCAAACAAGAATCTCCGATGGCCTAACAAGAAATGAGGGAAGTTGCCACCTTGAGTTGTCACAAATACCTCACTATGAAGGCAAACAGTGTAGTCTATTGCAGCCATCCTGGAAGAAAAATTCTGACAGCAGGAACTCAAAAGAGTTAACATTGACAAGACCATCCAAAGGAAACAAAACTACTCATAACATTAACAGAAATAATAAGCAGGCTAGGGTAGTCTGAACCTTGAATGGTGCGAGTTCTTCAGCGGTTGCTAGTGTATCCTTTGTCTGCAAATTTGGAAACATTTCCAACAATGGAACCATATACTTCTCGGCATTGTAAATCTTTCCAGAAGCTAAATATATAAATGTGTCCTTGCCGAAACCCATTCCCCTAAGCATCAGACCAACCTAAGAAGAGATAGAAAGTATATCAATTTATGAGATAGGTAAAGACTAAAGAACCACATGAAGCTCGTGTAAGAGTACTGCAAATTCACCAAGGAGATCCAGTTGCTGATGAACTATCAAGAACCAGTTTGTCTCAATAACTCGAGTTGTTGGGAGAGGTTCAATCGTGGATTATATACCACAACACTAACACGATTCCTCAAACGAAAGCCACTTACAAGGGCTTGAAGTTTGCACAGGTCTGAAGACAAGATTACCATGTGCTTAACAAATGGGGGTCACCGGGAATCGGAATCGAACACAAGACCTCTCGGTCACAGAAGGCTTTAATCACAGATATTTGTTCAAACAAGCAGCAAAACTCACAACTATACAGTAAACGATGGAAATGGAAACCATATTAGGAAAAGCTATTGATAGTCTAAGCCTTCAAGTACTCTAGGGAGGGGGGGGGGGGGGGGGGGGGGCATATTGATAATTGCCATGCGGACAGTTACTTGGACAAACAACTGTGCGGACAAATTTGATTACTTAGGAATCAGAAGTGGAAAGCTTTCTGCCTGAATTCATCTATGGTACTAGGTAGATTGACAGAACGCAAAATAAGAAGAAATAAAAACTGCAGATGCTCTTTTCCTAATGCTGTGGTCTATGCCCATGATGAAAATTTATCAAGGTCACCATATTCACTGGACAAAAAACAAAAATTCAATTGATGGGAAAAATAGATAGAATAGGAGTATACAACAAGAAAATAATTTACAGCATCGAAAATTCATGGCATCTTATTTTCAATTTCCTATTGCTGATACAATAATCCTACAAAAAATGGAAACTTCCAGTTCTTGCTCTTTTCAGATTAGTTTCAAAAAAAATCAAGTTGAAAATAGGAACCAAATGAAGGAAGCAGAAATATAAATAACATAAGTTACCTCTAAGGGAGTAAGGGGGCACTTCCCGTTAAGCCTGATGGCTCCAGGAAGTATGGTTCGACCAGGCTTTGTAAATTTCCCTTTCCAGCCTCTTTCCCTAGCAGCTTTCATGTCTCTATCTTCTTGGGCACCACCATCAAACACACAACAAGAGAAAGCAACCATGTCCTGATCATGTGATAATAAATTTAATAGCAGTCAAGATCAATATCGAACAGAAAATTATGTAACTACTGTCAAAGTTAACCATAAACAAACACAACTAGAATTCTGATTAAATGATAACCAACCTCCTCAAAGCGCAGGTGCACAGAAACATATTTCCCACCATGGCTTGCACTCAGTTCTTTCATTCTAGCCACCAGATTTTCCCCCATTGTCAATATGGGGTTTGAGAATCTTAGACCTTCATAGTTTGCCATACATCTAAGGCGTTGGACAGCTGGAGGAGCATCAAATGATAAACGGTGCGCAAATGGAGAAATTCTTACAACCCTGGCATATGGAGCAAATGTAAAATATATAAAGTCACACACACATTGGCCAGCAGTTAGTTGCTCAGAAGCAGGTTGTGCATACATAGTACAATTCCTCAAACATAGATGTACAGTTAGCATCCACCAGAACACTAATAGTTTTCAAAACTCATCAATACATATCATACAGGCACACATTTCATAGAATAGAAAAGTTGTGATAAGAGTGAACAACTTCAGGTCAATTCATAAAAAAGAACTTCTGAACAAGACTCGATGAACAAGACATCTAAATGCTTCAAGTGCATTCGTAACCACCAAAGAAGCATATAAAACAAAAGGATGATGACCAATTTCCAAGAGGGGCAAGTTTCCTGCTAAGACAAACGGAAGCCCAATCTGGCTCAGTAGTAAAGCAAAAAAAAAAAAATTATGAGTGATATAGGTTTGGTTTTAGTTAAGTGCTACTTGAGGGATTCAAACCTGGGACCTCCCAGTTCAAGACCAGTAGTATTACCACTGAAACAAGCCCTTGTTCGCTAGTAAAGCAAAATGTTGACAAGGATCAGGACTTCGAACTTGGAACTAAGTGAGCACAAGCTCTTTCCAATACCGGAAGAAGTTATCAACTCCAAAAACATAGCAATAGTAAAAAGATGCTTCAGAATAATCCCTTTTTTTCATTTTGTAGGGGGGAAATATACGTGCAGGTTGGAAGCCAAGTAGAACAAAGCATAACAGTTGTACGACAATCTACACGGCAAGGAACTCTAGAATAGAAGAAAATAAATACATCTGAAAAGAATGCAAAGCATGAAAAAACAACAAACAATGAGAAACTGATTAGATTTAAGTCAACATAATATGTTGGAAGAGAATTAGTATTGTAGCCTTACTTTTCTTCGAGTAGCCTGGGGAGGACTACATCTTTGTAATATTCAATAGGTGACCATGCTTTTACTCTGAAGTTGAATACATTGCTGAAGTTGTGATCAAACCGCTCCATTAGATATACTGGAATCTTATCAACCACCCTCACCTCATTTTGTAAGGCTTTGATAAAAAATTCTTGATCATATATGTCTTTGAACTTGCTGAAACCAATAAACAATTAAGTTAAACCAAGGGAAAACCCAAGTGATTACTAAACTGTAGCAAGGTAGACCAAATCTAGTATTGATCGAAGATTATCCTTCACCTGCAAGGAAATAGTAACAATGAATTATAAGATCGAGCATCTATTGGTATATGATGAGCTAAGTATCCGTTAAAAATGTTGCAACATGGCAGATGTGCTGGAATCAAGAAGTGAAAGAAAAATTAGATTGAAAGGAACAAAAAAGAAGGGGTAACTCTGAAGACACTTATGGGGAAAATGCCTACAAGCATCCGGGAAATGATCAATTTTACTATCAGAAAGCCCAGAGCCATTAAACCCTATGCATAGATTAACAACAACGACAAGACATGTTGGGTTCTGCATTAGTATGACACACTGTTGATTTTCTTCAATATGGCTGTGAAGTTTTCCCAATAAAACTACAACCTTGAACAGGGTCAAGTCAACTCAAGTATACGACATGGCAGATCCAACAGTTCCAAGGTTGAGTCAATACACTCTTTTTTCAGTATATATAGCATATATTCACAATTTTATGCTAATGTGAAGTGGTAAAGACATGGACCCACCTGGGATCTTTCCAAATGCTGTGGTAATGGAAATTAGGGATCAAGAGTGTAGCATTCAGATAGCCAGCAACAGCAACTGCATTGCATATCTATGAAACAACCATTACACTGTCAACCACTAATTATACTGTGAACTAGCAATTCAGCAGACAAAATTCAAGTAATTACAAACATAGCAGGAGCAAAGTCTATGCATGAAACTAACCGAAGTCCTTTGCTGATTCAAACCTCCATTGGCCTCAACATATATGTAACCATTAGAAGCTGGTATGCCTATCATAATAAAGAGTATAAGGAGACCAGATTTCTGAGAGACGCATAAACAAACAAGACAACTCACGAGGCATATGAGAGACAAAAACACATCATATGGAACATTTTGAGGGGAAGAATACAGAGAAACAGTGCAGTTCTCACTATACTAGCTCTAACACCTGACTCAAGAAATAACAAAATTATAAAGCAACAAATATGTGCATTGCCCTCTTAGTTGAAACAAATAAAGACACATTAGATCTTTGGGAATATTCATACCTTCCAACGACTTGTTCACACAAGGTTTCCACTCGCCACTTTTGTACGAATTTTTCCATATAGTTAATAGCTGCAAGATATTCAATATTCAATGTCAATGGCAAAGTAGCAACAAGGGAAAAATGGATGCCGCAAATGAGAATGCAGTCATAGAAAGGAAAGCCAAATGCAAAAGAAATGTCAGTTGGAAACTTAAGACCGGTTCCAAGTATCCTTAAGAGGACTTTATTAGCATGTCCTCTTGAGATGCCACATTCACATCCCCTTTGTCTCAGCCCAATCATAATTATTTCAACTAAATGATGCATTCTTTAGGAAATCAATACACATGCTGAATAGTTTGAATGGCACCAATAGCGGGCCCTTTAGTTTTCCCAATAAAACTACACCCTTGAAGAGAGGTCGTCAAAGACTCAAATATACGACACGGCACATTCAACCGTTCCAAGGTCGAGTCAAAGCATAACATAGCTTCTCCACCATAGTACGTATTAGTAAGTTCCTATTTTGACAGAGGAGGCGAAGACATAGATTTTGGCATCAAAAGAAGAATGTAGCTCTGCACTTTGAAAAAGCAATTAGATATGTAACACAAAGGCAACATAACATCAAATTAAGAACAACTACAATATATATTCTGGGCTTCACTGCACGCTAAACCAAGAGTCACGTCATATATTCTGGATTTCACTGCACGCTAAACCAAGAGTCACTTCCTACAACCAGCAAAAACGATTTTAACTGTCGAAACCTTGCACTGCATCAACCGTCATCCAACAAGCCAAGTCAATAGATAGCTTGCTGCAATCAGTTTTGTCCTAGAAGTTATCCACCACAGCCACCTGAGATATATGAAACTCCTTTTCACCAGCCCGATTCCTTAGATAACGAGGTTCCAAGACAGACAGTATTCACTCCTCGGCATTCCTTGCAGTATTGCTATTCTCATAGTGAGGAGCAAATGCAGCAATTTTAGGAACTAGAGATTAGAGAATAAGAATAGAAACAAAAGTGAATTCCGAGTAGCTTCGGCAGAAACACCATCCGGGAAGAGATCATTCAAGTGATCTAGGTCATCACTGTTACATAGAATTGGTCGATTCATAGAGCATCAGCAAATCTTTATCCAAGCTTCATTCGCTCCTAACGTTTTCAGATTCAAAATTCTCTGAATGCCAAAGTAGAGTGCCCTTCAAATTGGCTCTCAGAAAGCAGAGGAAAGAAGGTAAGGAGGAACATGAACTCACCGCATCAGCAGACGAATTATCGGCATCCATTTCAGGTCGGAGCTTCTCATAAATGAGGGGGCTCTTATAAACCGAACCAGGAGCAGGCCTATGAGAAATCTGGGGGACGACATCGAAGGACACAGTCCCCATGTAGAGAAGCATTCCCGAGATGTAGATAAGCGGGGCGAACAAGAAAATCCCCTGGCGACGGAGGAGAACGGAGAGGAGAAGCCAAGCAAGGCGATGAGCTAGAGTGCGACCAGGCGGGTGAGCCGCCGCCGGAGGGAACCGGCCAGGCTTGGACCGCCCTCGGTAGCGAGGAGAACGGAGGGGAGACTGTGGCGGAGACGGCGACGTGTGACCGCTGCTCGGAATCCGTTTAGAGGCGTGCATTTAGCAGATCTCTGATTGCGCTCTTCGGCGTTATTGCCCCCCTCTCGTTCCCGTCCTTGTCCCGCTCCCTCTCTCACTCTCTCTCTCTCTCGGCGTGCTGGTCTTCTACGACGACGTCGGCATGAATAGTCTTTCCCGGCGTCCTCTCCGGTGCGGCTCTGCAGGCTGCAGCTGCTCTTCGTCGGAGCTGCGGTATGAACTTTTCTTCCTTGTATTTTTATTTGTTTTTTGTATTTTCGCTATTCTTCTCCCGTTTTGCAGAGCGAGAGACAGCACGTGCTGAGAGGAGAGAGACTGAGTAGGGGTGGGGGAACCGGATTCGGATTGAAACCAAGAAGGAAAGTATCTCACGATTTTCTCTTTTTTACTGGAGCAGATCCGTAACTTATTTTTCATAATTATAAATTTATAATACATAAATAAGCATTGTTATTAGAGCAGAACCGGATCAACGGTTGGACCAGTAGAACCACCAAATTAGTTATAATAGCGATCCGGTTTATTGTTTGGATGGTTATTGATAAACCAAACGGTTTTATACGGTTTAACATAAAATCATCTGGCTCACTTCAACTACCACAAAAAAAAAATCCCGATTAAACCCAAATATAAACTCTAGTACTATACTACTCTAGTAGGGTGCAGTATAGGGCAAGCGTTATAAAATGTCAACCCGGATTGGTCTATGTACCCCTACTTCAATCGCTTAGGTTGTTATCTAGCAAACAGTTTCGAGTTTAAAACTAAGAAAACTACAAAGTAAACAAGCAAGCAAAGAAAGTAAATTGTGGAGAATTCTACTTGAGATGACTTCACCCCGGCATTTCTCCCCTTAGTCTCATGTTACGAAACAATGAACAAAACTCTAGTGTGAAGGATGTGTTTATATACCGTGAGGCGAGTGCAACTAGTTAGGAAACCCTAACTCTCTTAGTCGACTCATTAACGATTGCAGCTATAAGCTAGGTAGCCTAGCTCTCTTAGCCATTCGACTAAGGATTGCAACTAGAAGCTAAGAAATCTAGCTCTCTTAATCGATCAACCAAGGATAGCAAGAACCAATCCCTCGGAACATAATCCGGATGACAGAAGCGAGCAATCATGATGGAATCATGGCGCTAATCCGATTGAGGTTTGTCCTCATTTTCCTAGGTGGGTGACTCAAATTGTCCAAGAAATCCATCATCTCAAAGCCTCTAACAGAAGGGGCTTCCCTCCACCTAGTTCAAAATGACCCAATAATGAGTTAAAGATAGCAACTAATACCTCAAATATTATATAAAACACACAATCAACACACATAGAATCAAGTTCTTACATCCTAACACACAACTAGACTAGGGTTCACAATACCCAAGTAAGGGAGCACTACTCCATAGCTGGGCAAGGAAATACAACAAAGATGAAAGAAAGAACCATGGTGTGGTGACTATCCTCCTTCCTTGTTGCTTGAATCACCCTTTAGAGAAGAAAGCCTTCAAACCTCTAGTTTATGGTAAGCCCAAATCTCCATCTTCTTCCTTTGGTTCTTCACTTTCTCTATCTTAACAAGAAGAAGAAGATCTCTCTCTCTCACTAGAATTCTTTCTCCTTTTATGATTTTTCAGGTGGAACCCTAGAAGGGAACTCAGAAAATCTAAAACCCAACCAAGTTCCAGCTCTCTTTCTCTCTCCCAACTGCCTTCTATTTCTACAGCCCGACAGTCACTATCAGGGGCAAAATGTCACGACCGTGACAATGGAGCTCCAATCGTGACATCGTTCCAAAACGCATGAGGTTGCTGCCATTTTCATCCCAATCACTAATCTGATTGCAGTTGTCACGGTTACCGTGACAACCTTTAGGCCCGCGAGACATAGAAAATCTTCTGCTCCACAGCAACTTCACGCCCACTAGTCATTTGTCACGGCCCAGAAACCGTGACAATCACCTTCATACCGTGATATATGACTGTTCTTGACTTGTTGGCGCTTTTTGATGAGGTCATCAAGACCAAGCAAGCTCAAAATGAAGGACCAAGGACTCGTGTTAGAGCTAAAGCATTTCGAGATCACATTACGAGTTATTTGGCTAAGGAGTTGGAAGGCATGAGCTTGGATTTGTTAGAAGGGAAGTCCATCACACTATTGTGCTTTGTGGATCACGAAATTGGGCTCAAAAGGAGGGAAGGAGGTCGGTCATGGGGAAGGAGTATCAAGGTGTGAATGGAATCATCAATGGATAATTATCAAGGTGTGAACACAAGGAGGAAGGCGCATTTCAAGGCTAGATTCTAGGAGGATCTTTGACTAAGTCTTTTCCTTGTTTGATAAGGTTTTATTTTCCTTTTTCAAGTAAGATTTTTCCTTAGTTGTTTTGTGTTTAGATTCGTTTGTCTATAAATAGGAGTCGAACCAATGTAATTTTCATTCAATCAAATACAAGTGAGTTTGTTCGAGTTCATTTGTGTACGGTTTTTCCTAATCTCTCCTTTGAGGATTCGAGAGAATTGAGTTGTCTTTTATCAACTAGAGAACGCGTCTAGTTGTGGCGAGCATCGATGATATCGGTTGGCCTCTTCCATGAGTTTGAGATTGTTTGGAAGGTTTCATATACCTTCTGTCCCTACTCACGGTTTGGATTTGTTTGATCGATTTCGCAAGTATCTTTAATCTTCGTGTTATTGAAGAAAGAATAAAATCCCTAAATAGTTCGACGTTGTGAAATTATGATCTTTGGTCCAAGTTTGGTAGGATTCTCGAATTAGGGTCATACCAGGTGGTATCAAGAGTCTAGTTCAAACGCAGCGGAAAAGGCAAAAGTTCTTTATTGTTCGTGGAGCATTCTTGGGAATCTTGAATGTCAAGAAAGCAAATCTTGGACGTTCTTGGAGGGTTCTTGTGTTGCAAGGAAGTTATCTTGAAGAAAAGCATTCATGGGATTCTTCTTTAGAAAGAAACCATGGCGGAGTATGATTTGTGCCAATTCATGTGCTTAAATGTTTAAACATTGTCAAATACATCCCTATTGCATTCCTATTTGATTTTGATATGATTTTAGGGTGTATTAGTCGATATGTGCGAATTAGGTACAAAACAAGGTCACAATTGTAGAGAATGGGCAAGAATTGAAGATCGTGGTCTAGAAGCAAAAGATCACGGCCGGGATCACAAGCCGCGAAGTCCAGATGATGATCGTGATTCGGGTCCACTTGTACACATTTTATCCTCGTTTTCCTTAGACGTTTGATGCATTTGTACTTCGTGGGGTGTGGTTTTACGCTAGGTTGCACTTTGTTTTAGTATGTTTCAGATCCTAGCAGGTAAAACTGACCCCGGAATCGAAAGTGGGACGAAAAGGAGAAAAAACAAGTGAAAGGGTGGAAGCAGCTGAGGATCACGGCGGAAGATGAGTTTTCATAGTCTAATGGATCGTGAAAAGGGCGCCTAGACCGTGTAGCGCTAAAGTTCACGAAGTAAAATGCACACCTCATTGGAGTAGGATGGCAATTTCGACCTGACCCGATCGACCTGTTTGACCTGTTTTGGGGCAGGTCAAACCCGCCCCGTAGGCGGGGCGGGGCGGGCATGGGTACCTCTCATCGACCCGACCTGCCCTGACCCGCCCCATTCTCTACCCGTTCTTGCCTATATTACATATAATATTAGTCAAATTACTTAGGATTTTCCTCTTATTACATTAAATTTTAGCAATAATAAAGTTGTGAATAAGTGAAAACCTCAATTTTTTCAATAATTTAACTACATTTTATCATATTATGGTTTCTATCTTGGTCTTTTAATGAAAATAACAAATGTTTCTAATGTTTTTCGCATAAATTACATACTCAATGGGTCGACCTGCCCCGACCCGCGCCCCGTGATAAATTACCCGACCTGGACCCGACCTGCCATGGGGCGGGTATGGGTATCGAGATACCCGCCCCGGACCTGCCCCATTGCCATTCCTACACTGGAGTCCAACCAGTTCACGGTCGCAAGACGTGAACCAAAGCCCCAGACCGTGAAGCGTCTAAGAGTCTAGAAGCAAAATGCACACCTCAATGGATCCCGGTCAGTTCACGGTCGTAAGGACGTGAAGTCGTGAACTCAAGCCCCAGAACGTTCACGGACTAAGTGAAACGGTGCGGATTTGCTCAACATCACGGTCTAAGAAGGGTGTTCACGGCCGTGCACTGGGACAGTGAACTAATCGCGACCTGGGTATAAAAGAAGGGCTGAGCTGAAGGAAAAAGGGGGGACCTAGTGTGAGAAGCTTCTTCTTATTCTTCAGCTTTCTAGAGAGAGAAATTGACGAAACAAAAAAGAGAAGAGGTTAGGGTTTCAACTCCAAGCAAGATTTTGGGAATTTCTTCCCCAAAGGAAGATCTCTACACCATAAGGAGCAAGACTAGTTTCTCCCTCAAACTGGGTTCGCAGCAATTGGCAGGATTCTTAGGGATCACCTTGGTCTATGCAAAGAGGCATTCTGCTGCAACTTGGGCATGTGCTCAATCACTAGAGCATAACTGAATGGTGAGGTTGAAGGTCTCTGCATTGCTTGGGAAAAAGGCTATCAATCTCATAAGGAACTCCACGGATAGCAACCACCACCACAGACTATTGGTGCAACAAATTAGAGAAATGCTCACTTTCAATTGGGTAGTTTCAGTCTCTCATATGTTTAGAGAAGGTAATTTTGCTGTCGATTTCTTGGCTTGTAAGGGTCATGATTAGGGTGTCAAAGTGAACTCGTTGAGCCCGATCGGGTTGGAATCTTTGGCAATTTCCTATTTTCATAATTATTTTCATTTTTAATTATTTATCTTTACACCTGAGTTGGTTAGCTTGTTTTGGTTGGTTGGCTTTGATACCAAAAAATTGACGTAACTTAATTTCTACTAGTCTAACTTTTTTGTTTGTTTGTTTGTTATGGAAGGAGATTGAGGATTTTTTTCTAGAAATGCCACCCTATAAAAAAATTCCAAAAACACTACCCTTTTTTAAATAATTTCATTTATACCCTCTTTTCAAACAAGCCGCAGGGGGCCACAATTTGAAAGCAGACCACAGGGGCTCACGATTTTTATTTTTTGGGGCCACAAACCGCAGGAGGGCGTGGCAGTCAGGCAGATCGTCGGATCCCCCTACAATCTGATGGTTGACCGCCAGCCAGCTCAGCAATCCGCGTGACCGAGGGGGTGATCCGCGTCCTTCTAGCAAAAACCGTGCCCCCTAGCCACAGTTTGCATTTGAATTTCGAAAACTGCCCCGCTCCCACGGTTTCTATTTTCCTTCCCACCCAAACCGTCCGCCACCCCATGGTTGGTGGCTATAAAACCCCGTCCCCTCTCCATTTTCTTCACACAAAACCAACCCTTCTCTCTCTAAGATTTTCTCTCTACCCATCCCACTCTCCACCCCAAAAATTAAGAAGTAGTGGTCTGTTGATTGCGGCTAAGTCTGAACTGCCATCAGAAAATATTTCTTAAATTTTTTCCTCCAAAACCCGTCGAACCTCTGTCCGCCTTCTTTAAAAAATGGACGAAGATTGGTACTAGTAAGAGGGTGTTTATTATGATGACTATCAAGCGGTACGTACTCATTCTACTATTTTTTGTTGTTCTTATAATTCTTGTTAATTAATCTATATATTAATTAGTTTGATTTGTTGTTATGCTATCGTAGGTTGGACCGGATGTAGATATTTATGATCAAAGGTATTATCTTGATCAAGGACCTAACGATGCAAGTGTTCTTTACGACCAACCTAACCATCGTTCAAGGAATGTTTGAAACGATTTGGCGATACATATAATTCTTCAACTTTTGTCATATTTTATTTTGTTAACGTAATTAGTGTTTATAAAATAATTTAGTTTTAATGGTTAATCGTATTGGTTGTTTTCAATGATTTGGACTAGTACAATGTGACACTAACTTAGACTCTTTTTTTTATAATTTACTTAGAATCTTTATAAAGAGATGCATGCCTAAGGAAATTGGGTCTTAAGCAATCATCAATTCATCATGATCCTCCCATTACCTGGGAAAATCGGGTCTTTAAGCTATCCTCGAATCCCTTTTTTCTGTAAAAAAAAGTTGTGTTTATAAGGAGATGTATAACTCTCCTAAAAGTATAACGAGTATACTTGTATTGGCTTAAATCATTTAAACTAACCAATATGATTTACAAAATAGTATAATGGATTTATGATTATGTTTATGTGTATATCTTTTTAAATCTTTGGTATTCATTTTGTTAATTTTAAATGTTTGGTATAATTGATTTATGTGTATATCTTTCAAATGCTATTCATTTTAGTTAATTGAATATGTTTGCTATGACAAATTTATTTGTATATCTTGCAAATGGTATTCATTTGGTTAATGATAAATAGTTTGTTATAATAGATTTATGTATTTATAAATCATAAATTTGTGGTTTTAATTTATTTCCTAGAGTACACACTATATTGTCCGCTATAGGGGTACGAGCAATATTTTGTCATATAACGACGCTATCTTGCGCTATCTCAAAAGGGCAATGTTGGATTCGATGAGGCACTTTGTCGGCATAAAGATCGACGGTAAACTCATCACAACATTGATGGAGAGGTGGCGAAAGGAGTGATAACGATGTAATTGCACATGTTTGCGCCCCTAGTTCTTATCCGTTTGAGGGGCATATTCGTGTGTTGTGGCCTATTTTATGCTAGGTTGTGTTCCTTTGTCCCATTTCAGGTCCTAGCACATAAAGTGAAACAGGTTAGAGATCATCAATCATTAATCTGGCTAGTGGCTAGGGGGAATCATACCTAAGTGAGTTCCCTACCTGTAATTAGATTAACTTTGACTGTAGTTTGCTAGAGTAGTTTTAGTTCTTTCATCTTAATCTGATTTGCTAAATAATAAACTGAAGCTGAGTAATAGTAACTCTAGAGACCCGTGGATTCGATATTTATCACTTGAGCCACTATACTGCAGTCCCTTTCATTGGTTACACTTGGCCTTTGTTAGGAGTTGTGTTTTTGGAGAGTCAAGTTTTTGGCGCCGTTGCCGGGGACTTTCTAGAGTATTAGGAAAGGCAGAAGTTTGTTACTTTAGCGTTTTTCGTTTCTTTTCTTTTCCACCCTTGCTTTTCACTTGGGTGTTTTTGTTTTTGTTGGTGCAGATCTGAATCATGGATCCTAATGGCTTCTCCAATCATTGGGGGTATCCACCACCATCTGGGTGGTATTACCCCGAGACTCCGTGGAGCAATCAAGGCGGAGAAGACTATGGATTCGGGTTCCAGTACCAACCCCCTTACTACGGAGAACAACCGGACCCCTGGGCATATCAAGAACAACCTCATTATCAAGAAGAATTTCTCCCACAACCAGAAGGGCCATCGGCGCTGGAGTTACTCATGGAGCAGTTTGCTCGAGACTGTGAGAGAACATGCTCCAGGATGGATCAGTGTGTCCAGGCCTATCGTGAAACAGATGAGATCCTCCTGAGCCTTAAGAAGAGCGTCGATGATCTTGAGCGATCTTGGGCGCAACCTGCTCCAGATCACCCTTCTGCTACCACACAAGAGGAGGAGGAAGAAGAAGGCTACAAGGGCATTGTGGAACACACTGAAGTTGTCACGGAGAGCTCCCGTGATGATCATGATCAGGCCTGTCATGTCGTAGCCGACCACACCTTCCCACACCCCAACCAGAGCTTTGAAGAGGCGGGCATGAGTGAGGAGATGCAAGAAGATCTCATGAAAGAAATTGCTTGGCAACTTGCTCTCCAATCCGTGCTAGAAGAAGAAGAGCAAGAAAGGGTGCAGAAAGAAGTTGTGGAGGATGACGAAAGTGAAGCTGGAGGAGTTCTTGATCATTTCCCAGGGGTGATACCACATGAAGAAGGAAGGGAGGTTGAAGAAGCAATTGGCGTCCAGGCTGAGGACGGAGTTAAGGTGGAAGAGGCCTGCACCGGCCATGAGTTACTTGTGATATCTCCACCAAACTTCGAGGAACTGCTTAGCAAGGACCCATTTGCAGTGTCTCTTTGCCAGACCAAGGCCACCTCGACATCGGTCCCTCTTGGTGGACGCGATGGTGGCCAATCGATGCTGTCTTATCTGGTTTGGGGCAATGAGACGAGAGAAGAGAAGAAGAGGTCTCGAGGGTGGAGACTTCATCTGCATCAAGTACATGAGCCTTCATCACCTGCCACATCACATGCTCATGACTTGAGACTCCACCTCATCGACGAGAACCTCAACTTCAAGGAGGTTCTAGCATGGACCGAAACTTAGGAGCCATCGTCCGGCTCATGACGTGAAAGAAGCGCTTGTTGGGAGGCAACCCAACCAGTCGGTTTGCATTTCTTTCTCTTTTTCTCCTCGGTTGAGTCAGTTTTGTTATTTGATTTTAGAGTCAATAACTCAACCTTTGTGAGATTTTGTGTGGTGTTTGTGTTCTGATTACTCTCTCTTTCTGGATGGCACCGCCTGACCCGTTCATCATCATTCACCCTTAATCTGGTAACTTCGTTCTACCCTCCTTATCTTTCCTCCATTGAGGACAATGTCGTGCTTAAGTGTGGGGGGGTGTTCGATTATGTATGCGGGTGAATGTTTGGCTGTTTGTGCGCTTGGAGCCTAGTCCACTGTCCTGTCCAAATTTTTAAATTTGAGGGCTCCAAGTACGTGTTCCATGCAATTGCCTGCTCAGTATGCTTTGAATTGACAGTCTTTACAGTAATATGCAACCTAGGGAGGTAGTGTAGCACTATGGAGGATGTTGATGCATTTAAGAAGTCTCATTTCTTCTTCATATAAAGTTGGTTGATTGAGTGAATTAATGATCTTAGGACCCTTGAATTGTGTGGTGTTGTGGATTTTCTACCTGTCATGGACTCTTGTATCATGTTTTGAAAATAACAGGTGCTCGAAAATGTGCTTCAAAATAAACGTCTCCCGTGCGAATAGGGCGAAAGTGTGTAAGGGGAGACGGGAATCCGTTCCCAATTTCCACCTACTACCTCCAGCCCCCTTACATGTCTTTCCCCCGCACGAGGCTCGAGACATCCGCTCCTGGCATGGCCGGTAAGAGCAGGTTGGGACCCTTGAAAAGAAAAAAAGAAAAGAAAAATAACAGAAAACAAGCAAAACAGAAAAAAGGGGTTCCAACCATCTTCAAAGAAAATCGAGCACCTTGAAAAATGTGAGTCCATGATCTTTTGTTTTTGAGAATCTCTTCATCCACAATTCATTTGTCCTCTGTTCACTGTTTGCCATGATGCCGACTGACCGAAGAAGCTATGAGATGACTTGTGCGTCGGTTGACCTCGTAAGCTGCTAAATGATCTAGGAAGTCCTCTACCTACGATCTAGGTTGTTTGTTGCTATAGAGGTCTGGAGAGTTGCATTGGTTTGAGTTAGGTTTGCTTGGGGACAAGCAAACGGTTAAGTGTGGGGGAGTTTGATAACGATGTAATTGCACATGTTTGCGCCCCTAGTTCTTATCCGTTTGAGGGGCATATTCGTGTGTTGTGGCCTATTTTATGCTAGGTTGTGTTCCTTTGTCCCATTTCAGGTCCTAGCACATAAAGTGAAACAGGTTAGAGATCATCAATCATTAATCTGGCTAGTGGCTAGGGGGAATCATACCTAAGTGAGTTCCCTACCTGTAATTAGATTAACTTTGACTGTAGTTTGCTAGAGTAGTTTTAGTTCTTTCATCTTAATCTGATTTGCTAAATAATAAACTGAAGCTGAGTAATAGTAACTCTAGAGACCCGTGGATTCGATATTTATCACTTGAGCCACTATACTGCAGTCCCTTTCATTGGTTACACTTGGCCTTTGTTAGGAGTTGTGTTTTTGGAGAGTCAAGGAGACACACAACTTCAACTTTCGTGAAGGAGAGTGCACCATCACATTGAAGGACATCGCCATCCTAACCCATTTGCTCATCGATGGCGATGCGGTGTGTGTGAAATTGAATATTCTATAAAAATAACTAGTACAGGAAAAATAGAATTAACCACTAATGTTAAAGAAAAACTATATAAATTTCCAGATAAAATGGAAACAGGAAACAAATACAAAGATTTGTAGGAAGTTTAAACTATATTAGCGAACAATGATTTCTTAAAAATTTAGCAAGAGAAAGAAAATACCTTCAGCAAAAAATATCATATAAGATACCCTGGAAATGAGAAGACAAGGATACAAAGATAGTAAATTTATGAAGACCAGTTGTGATCATTTACCAAAGTTATATTACCCATGTATGTGATCACGATTTTCTTATAGTTGAAACATATGGATCCAAGGATGTCAGGTTGCATGTTTGCAATTCCAAAAGGCAAAAAGTTATTATCTCTTGATCACTATGACAATTTACTATCTCAAATCAGTAATGAATCAAGCGATTCGTCTACAAATCACAATGATAAATTACTATCTAAAAGCAATAATGAATCGAATGATTCACTTTCTATCTAACCGCATGATTTTATAGAGTACTCAATTCCTTTCAGTTCAGACAAGTATCCAAGAAGTTGTCCAATTATATTTCTGGTACATCCTCTAATACCGAGAGAAACTATCCAATTCATGAGCTAGAAACACTAGCTTGTTTCAGGACATTGAAAAAATGGAAACTCAAATTGTTAACTAGTCGATTTGAGTTACGCACCGACTCCAAATATGTTACAGGATTCTGGAGATACAAGGTTGAAGTAGACTTCAACAAAGGAAGATTAATTCGGTGCAAGGTTGTCAAACCGGGTTAAGTCATTGAGCCGGTCAAGCAAGGGTTTTTATTGGTCTGATCGGGGTCCGACTGATTTGAGCCGTTTTATACATTTTTCTAAATATATATACAAATAAGATAGTAATTAAAAATTGACGACTGAAATAAAATTTATCTACATGTATCTATTAAAAACTTAGAACTTTGCTACAGTGACTTGCAAGTCACCGTAACTTGCACTTTTCGATCGACCTCAGTTAGTATTAAGTCAACCTAAGTTGTTGTTTCAGTTTGTGAGGCTCACTAACGCTGTCGACCTTTTAGATCAAATGGTCGACCTCTTTGGGAAGCCAACATTAGGGGTGTAAGTTTGACCCTTAAAACCCACTGACCCGCCCCGACCCTCATGGTCGGGCTAGGTCAGTTTATCTACAGGGTCAGGTCAGGGTCGGGTCAATTTAGGGTCCGGTCACTTTTTGACCCTAGGACCCTTAGCATCATACAAATACGTTGGACCTATTAGTAAAATTTTAAAAGTTTAGGTACTAAATTGTAAAAATACAAAATTTGGGTACCAAAACATAATTTTATCATCAAATTTTTGGGACTTCTTTGTAAAAAAATAAAATTTAGGTACTAAAATGTAGAAAAATAAATTTGGGTACCAAATTGTAATGTTTAGAAAAGTAGTGTATTTATTAGGGTCGACCCACTGACCCGGCCAGATAGGTTCATGTAAGAAATAGGGTCGGGGCGGGTCAATTATACATCTTGACCCTTCAGGGGTTGGTCAGGACAGAGTCAGTACAGGGTCAGGGGCGGGTCGGGCCAATTTTCAGCCCTAGCCAACATAGTTAAAAGGTAGACCCAAATACCTCAAAGGCCGACCATTTTGGTACTAATAGGTCGACCTCACAAGTGAAAAGGTTGACCATGTGCACACCTAATTTGTATTATATAAGGATTCCAACACCAGAAATGTAAACCTAACTTGTCTACCACTTATTTCGACCCAACCACGTCCTAAATATCTATAAATACGAATATATGTCACCTTCACCGCCACCTAAACTCTGGATTAGGTTTTTTTGTACGACTAGAGCTTTTGTGAAGAAGATCTTTTGCGGTTGATGTTGTGCATGTTTCAAGAGGTTGACCACGCGGAAGGTGAGGTTGACCTAATTTAGCTATCGCTGTCATGTTGTCTAGTGCGTAATTTGTGCCGTTTAATTTGATATTTTGTTGCGTGCAGAAGACCATTTGGTCGACCCTTATCTCAATCAAGTTGGCCTCTGTTTGACAATTGCTAGAAATTGAATTTAGGGCACAACACTCGTAATTTTGTACTTGCGAGGTACGGAAGATCAAACCTTTAGGTCGACCTAATATTTGTTGAGGTCGACCGTTTCTATTTATTTCGGTTGTTTATCATGAATGTCAACTTTGGCTTTGTTTGTAAGACTACGTTATGCTTAAAAGGTCGGCTGATCAATGTGTCTGGTTGACCTATCAGTTGTTTGTGGTAGTATTACACATGTTTTTGTTGATAAATTGGTATTTTCCTACTGGATAGGTGGACCTACACAGAGCAAAGGTCGACCTAATTGGTTCTGGTAGAGACAAATTATGACTTGAAGGTCGACCTAAAAATAAATCAGGTCGACCGCATCTCTGTTGTTGGTCATTCATACAAAATTGAAGTTGAATTATGATTTGCATTTTTCTTTAAATTGTATAGACGATGGCGCATGATGAGAAACAACAACACGATGAGGGTGAAATCATGAAAGTGTTGAAAGTCACACAAGAGTAGCTGGTGGTGTGTCAAAAAGTCTTCAATGACTATCAGAAGTCCATTCGTGATACACTGGAGCAATTGTCAGTTCGATTGACAGATATGACTGGGATGATGCATGATGGTTTTGAGAGGCTAGAAGGTGCTATCAAAGAAATACGTGCAAAACAAATGGAGAACGGAGGAAGAGATGGTACAAGAAAGAAATTTGACTTTGATGAAGAGGAGGAAGACCATGATGACTCTGCAAATTGCTACAAGAGCATAGACGATTTATTGAAAGACCACAAGTTAAAAGTAGACATGTATATTCATATGTGAGTGGAGATATTAGTATTAGTATCATTAATGCTAATTTGTTTTGTTTATATGACTGACAGAGTGAAACAACGTTTGGTAGCAATGGTTCATCTCCTAAGTACAAGAAACCTCAATATGAAAGTGACTCCTACACCACTCCACAGATTGATCATTTACTAAGAAAAGGAAGCGACGAAGATGAATCTAATTAAGAGTCCTTTCGAAAAGCACAGAGTAAGTTTACATTACATATTCATCTATAATGTGTGTTTGTTTTCATATGTAACTTATTATTTTTACTATGATTTGTAGGTCATGAAAGTGGAGGGCCTAGAAGGATTCATAAAAAATTTGCAAAATCCAGTTAAGGACTTGGTTTATGTTGTTACTAAAGAGAAGACTGGAGACACGAATTGGGACAAGTAAGAAACGCATTATTTTTTAAAAGTAGTATATGTGGTCGACCGTATCGACAATGAGGTCAACCACGTCTTCCTAAACAGGTCGACCTTGTTTGTGAATAGGTCGACCGATATTGTGCAAATCACAATAGACATTTATGTTATTTTGGTGTTTGTAGTTTAACCGTTGTTGACTTTTTTAACGAAAACGTGCAACGGAAATATTTGAGTTCGGTCATTAGCGAGAGTAGCTGGGTTTGCTCATCCGTAAGTACTATACTGCTACGACTTTCGTAAGAATTGTGCACTATTTATGTTATGATTTACGAGAATTTTGTGGTTGATTGTTGGTTGGTAGGTAGTGGATTTGTGTGCAAGGGCACTAACAATGTCTGGAAAAACATTACAATAAAGAGCCAAATGTGTGGTATTTTCCTAATAAGTTTTCGGTAAGAGCCATAATTTTTATTTTTTGTCATAACCAAGTTATTAATATTGTATCATGTCAATTAATCTCAATAAAAATATGGTGAAGAAAATGGTACGCACTAACATGAAGACCGGACAATTCATAACAAGTTGATGGATGATGGTGTGGTGTTTATGCCGAATGTTAGTGCCTGCAGGAAGGTTAGTCAATGTCCCTATCTCATTAAGCTTCGAAAGTGCATTTGTTTGCATTCGCTTTTTATAACATATAATGACTTTTTCATTGCTAGATATTTATGCTAGTTCTGGACGATGAATCACGTCATTGGTTTCTTTATCTCGTCAATGTCCAGCAAAAAATCGCATTTTTGCTTGACAGTCTACCTTCAACTAGTGAGGCGAGTCTTAAGCATAAATCAAACCACTGTAAGAAATTGGTAAGTATTTCCTGTAATTGTCTGAATACTAAGTGTCACGTATACTGCTGGAAGCATATAATATTCGTTATTTGTGTGTGGTTGTCCAAATTGCATGATATTTTCAAACTGGAGCAATGATGAAAAGAGGTCGACCCATTCATTTTTTGTCTCGTTGGTACATCCAAAATTGTGATTTGTCGATGTTTTTTACTTGTGCTTGCAAACAAAGGTCGACCTATTTATGTTCTGTTTTGTTTATGCATGTAGTGTATAGGTCGACCGGTTTGGGGACAGGTCGACCGAGTCTGGTTGGTTTCGTCCTTTGTCTAATGCGAATTGTCGCTTGTTTGATCTCAGGATGTTTCGAGGGAAAAAGAAAAGAAAGTATAAAAAAAACGGCTGCCTCAAGTTTTGAATGGGAAGAGTTCAACCCTACTCTATTCCAGACCAAGGAGCAAACTGACAAATATGAGGAGAGGATAATGCACAACCGCAAGGTGGCTCATTGAAAGCCATTGACGAACGGCGAATTCTCATTTCGAAGATTCCGGGTTCGTTGCACAATTTGTGGAGCAAGATTGTCTGAAGGTGATATCTCTCAATGTACCATACTATCCAAAAATGATACAGTACTTCTACAACAACATCGTCTATTAGCCTAATGCAAATGGATCGATTCATGCTTTTAAAAGGGGCGGAGATGCATATCACCAAGAGATGTGTTGGCATAAGTATTAGAGACTCCAAACCAGGGGAAGAGAATCAATTCTTATAGTGCTTGGAATGAAACTCATTTCTCGAGAACCAAGTAAATTCAGACTGTATGTGGTCTTGTTGAAGAGTAAGATGTTCAGGATCGCAGTAGGCCAATGATTCGCCAGCTCACAGTTCACCCCAGAGTTCTTCACCCCAGAGTACTTCGACATGGAGCTCCTCAACAACCTACTTTCAAATGAGAAGGTGAACTTGTCATACTTGATCTTTAAACACATGCTTGCTGTTGCAGAGAGTTAAACTAGGAATCTCCCTCATGGGATGATACTGACTTTGCTATTTGAGCATTTTGGTGTGGATTTAAGTGGTGAGGTTGGCTTAAGAATCACAAGGAAGGAGTTCTATACAGTTTCATACCTAAAAAAGATGGGATTTGAGCTGCATAGTGGTGAGTATGTTCGAGCATACAATCATTATGTAGTCCATGGTGGTGATGGTGATGATGATGATGATGAGCCCAGAGACGAGCCAATGGCGCAGCCACAAAGTTCAACTCCACTAGTCACCTTAGAGCATATATGGGAGCGCATGGATGACATGTATGACTACATGAGACAGATGACCACCCAGATGAGTACACTGCAGGTTTCTGCAACAGAGATGCGAGATGAGTTTCGATCTTTCAGTAGAAGATACATGCATCCCACCACATCTGACTACTATCATGCTAGAACCACCAATGAGGAAAATGCGGATGAGTGAGAGACGGGAGAGGTGTAGGAACTCGACGATTTAAGATACTATGTTTTTTTTAAGTCTTAAAGATGATTGTGGATTGATATTATGTGGTTTTCGATTTTAGGTATGTGTGAACAATTATGAGGTGTGTTTTGTTTTAAGTTGTTATGTTATGAAGTTATGAGTCCTTGCTATCATGATTTACGAATGATTCTGTTGGTTTAAAACATTATTTGTACGAGTAAAAGAACCACTCACATCGACATATGTAAGCAAAAAAGACCCAGGTCATAGGATGATTTTCCTATATTAGGTTGAACTCTTACTATATTCAGTCGACCACGAAACCAACACTTGATCTTCATTTAACGTCAAAGGGGGATGGATAGGATATAACACTTTACTCTTCTATCTGGTCGACCTCTGTCTGTATATGGTCGACCATTTTGGTAATGACCGCCATCAAGTGGTCGACCTACTTACTTTTACGGTCCACCATTTTGCTTCGGACTGCAATGAAAAGGGCGATCGATATTTTACTATGGCCGACCGATAATGTCTCAACTTAACTGAAAATGGTCAACCACTACATTTAAAAGGTCGACCGTGATAAGTCATCAGAGTGCCCACATTAGTGTATTCGGTCGACCGAAAAGTGCAAGTTACGGTGACTTGCAAGGCACCATAGACGCACCCAAAAACTTATTTCCCATAAAATAAAACCTATCTAACCTCCATGATTCACCCACCATCTTCCTTCCTTATTTCCCCTTCTTCCCTTTCCTCTCTATTCTTCTCCCTCTTTAGGGGTCAGACCAGGAGTTTTCTGGAGACCGTTTTGAAACCCAACTTAGGTCGGACCAGGTTCAACCGAGGGCCCAAATAGGGGTTGAACAACCTTGATCTGATGGCAAAAATATCTACACTATTATAAACCATATATGAAATGCATAAAGTCAACATCCAACCTATTGGCCGACACCCTTACAAGTGAATGGAGGAAATAATCAAGCAGATGCAACACCAACAACAACAGAAAGAAGAACAAATAAGATCATTTGAAACTCAGCTTTCTCAAAGGCGGGGGGAAGTAGCGAAGCTCAAAACCACCATCACCATTATGCAACAACAAATCAAAGGAAAAACTCAGCCAGAAAGCAAGGTAACAAGCATAGAGAAGGAAACACAGCAAGAAAAATCAATATCATCATCCACAAGATGGGCAGATCTAGTAGAAGAGGATGGAAAATATGAAGAAGATGAAAGGAAATAAAAAATAGAAAAATGATATGTCATTTATGACGGACCATTTCGAGGAGTTTACACTAGTTGGGCATAATGTCAAGCATTTGTCATTCACAACCAATGAGGAAGCAGATCAAGCACTCAAAGAATCATACAAAATTCTTGCCATGAAGCAAAAAGTAGAACTGGTCACTCCACAACAACATTTGACGATGAGAATTCATGGTATCAATATAAAAATTATTCAGACCACAAAGGAAAGGGACGGAGGTAAAAAAACCCACTCTTCAGAAATTCCAACAATGTTGGAATGATCTTCTCAGCTAGGACTGGAAGTTTGGTACCGGTATTTGAGATATACTGAATACCGTACCGAATTTGTCTATATTTGGTATTACCGAATACACGTATTATTTCTTGGGATTCGGATTGGGATTGGGATTGCATTTCCATAGTTATTCGGTATAGGGTTACGGGATTGGAATCGGTATATACCGAAATACCGATCAATACCGAAATATAAGCTAGTGTGTATTTTATCCTATCAACTAGACTCTCTCATTCATTACTACATGACCCTCAACCACCAAGAGTGTCATTTAATTATACATAGATCATTCCATCACTATTTCACAACTTAGAAGTCTCCATCCAACTCAATTTTGACTTTTCAAATTAAGTCACTCTCGTACCTCACCTAATCTCTTGTTATTTTCATAACACCAAAAAGTAAACACTAGTATTAGTCGTCTCTCAGCCTCCAATTCGTCAAATTAAAAATTATCAATGACAATAACTTGAGATGTCACTTCTCCTCTATTCTCCTTATCCATATCCGAGCCCTAGGAAAACTCAAGATTCTTTGCTTAGTCTCTTTGCACTAAATTAAATAATAAAATATAATTTATATATTTAATTATTAATTGCAAAGATAATTAAGTTCGTATTCGATAATACCGATTGGGATACCGAAGTATCGATTGAGATACCGAAATATTTAGGGATTGGGATTGATTTTAGGATGTAATTCGGTATTCGGGATTTCAGTATTTGGTATTGGGATACCGATACTGTACCGATTTCCACCCCTATTCTCAGCTATGAAGAAATCCATACAAGCATGTGTTTTACCCAACATTCAAAGTTGGGCCAAAAGCAGTAGTTACAGAAGAAGCTTAACCAGCAACAGTATTTGCTCTTCATCTATATGGATTATTGAACACCATTTATATCAAAAGGATTAACATCTACGACGAATTTTTTTTATTAAATTCAAGATGACTGTGAAAAGATATCTTGAATTCTTTGCCAAAGGAAGATAGATTTATCTAAGGTATACTTCCAGATATCCAGTATTCAACTAAAAAGAAATGACTATACCATCAAAGACCCTCATCAAAATGAGAGTCTCAAATGGAAATTATCCAACAAGGGATGTTCTGAAGACAGTCAAAATACTAGAGGATTATCAAGTGAAATCATTATTTTCGGTATGTCAGGCCATTTACTACATCAACTCAACATACAACTTCAAGGTCAACTATGGAAGGAACCACAAAATCATCTTCTGTAATTCCAAGACACAGTTCATTACAGAAGAATGGAGCCTAATTACAGATCTAGCCAAATACTTCATCAATATAGAAGGAACATTGGCTCCACTAGCAACAGAACAAAAGCAACAACTATGTGAATTATTGCAACTACACGAAGATCATATTTGCATCATTGTGTAGCCGACATGACCACCATCCCCACCAATGAAGAAGAGTAAAAACAGAAAGGATGAAAGATCTATCACATTAGCTTTGTCCTTTATTTCTTTGCCAAACTTTCTCTGCAATAATGTAGCTTTATAAAGTTTGTTTGTTTGTTCTCACTTGTTGGAAAGTGATGTAAGCCCTTACATATAAGCAGGCTAAGGACCTGCTACATATATGTATGTTTAAGCCCTCATAAGGAGGTGGAGAATAAAAGTTCAGTTAAGAATATTCTCTCAAAGCCAAGACTCTGTCTTGAGGTGGTTAGGCACTGAGTGTTTGAGGTGTTACTCTGGAGATACTCTTATCCCCCATAAAAAACACCACGTAGCAAAACTATCAAACCCCACAAAAAATTCTCAAACACAACTCCAACGATCATCATTAGCATCAACATGAAGATGTCAAAAAATAAGGAGCTAGATCATTCAAACTAAACAAAAAACAGGTATGTCTGATAGCCCTAGCACCAATACCAATTATTTTGACTATTTACGCAAAAATGAAGAAGAAAACTATTTCTTAGATGGTATAATATATTAAGAAAATCAAGGAACTAACGAATTTCATCTCATCAGATACTCAAAATTTTATCACCAAGTCATTTTTATCTAAAATCTCTGATAGAAAAAATATAATAAATATTGAAATATGATAGGAGAAATAGCAATATCTATAGAACAAACTAAATGAGATTTTATAATTAAAATAATAAACAAATAACAAATTAGGAAAAATATAAAAATTACAACAAGAAGAAAAGTGTAAAATAGTTTGTATTCATATTAGTACGATACAATTTATCTTAAAAGAAACAACGAAAATAGGAATAAGTGCTCCTATAGAACTAAAAATAAGAGATGACAGACTCGTTAATGATGAAGAAAGTATTATAGCAAAAGGACAAGAAAATTTAGGAGTGAGAATGTTTTCCGGCGAGGAAAATCTGGTGTTTGAACACAATAACTGCACCTTTGACTTCTTGAACAACGATAATTACACGGTCCACTCCTCTCCGAACAATGTTCGAACGAGGGTGTTTGATGTTTTGATGGATTTTTGGGAACAAGCTACGTTACTCTACTCCTATGGAGGTTCAGTGAGAGCTCCGAAAAACTAAAAGGGCAAGTTGCAGAGAAAAGATAATTTTTGACATGTGTTGTCAAATGTTTGGTTGTGGAACCCCTGCTTCTTCTTCGTTTCTTCTATTTATAGCCACTAGGAGTAACTGCCTTGGTAACTGTCTTGGTCTTCACCTCCATTGCCTTTGAGCTCCTTGACCCGTCTTGTTGACTGGTTGGTATCCATCGCCTTGGAGGCCCTTGTCCCGTCTTGTGGTTAGTGGGTGCTTGATGGCCTCGATGCTGGGTCGGGTTGGTGTTGAGCCTTGTCGCCTTGCTTGGCTTCCAAGCCTGTCTTGCAGACCCCGTTGGCTTCATACTTAGCCAAATTCATGCTTTACATGTCTTGGTACCAAGCCTGCCTTGCCGGCTTGGTACCCTCTTGCTATGGTCATGTGATTCCATACTTAACAAATTTTCACCTCGGCGTCATGCTTGACACCCTAGTGCAAGGACCCCCTTGGACGACGTCATGCATGACCCCCCTTGCACGGTGTCATGCTTGACCCCCCTTGCGTGGTGGGTCTCAACACTTAGCCAAATTTTGGCTTTCTTCCCCATCATGGTCTAGTGACTTGCATTGCCCTTCTCCCCTTGCCACACGCTTTGATACCTGGTAGGCGGCTATACCCCTTCGATGGTATCATGCTTGACCCCCCTTGCACGGTGTCATGCTCGACCCCCCTTGTGCTGTGGGTCTCAACACTTAGCCAAATTTTGGCTTTCTTCCCCATCATGGTCTAGGAGTACTCACCCGCGAGGTAGTTGTCATGCATGACCCCCTTGGATGGTGTCATGCATGACCCCTCTTGTACTGCGGGTCTCAACACTTAGCCAAATTTTGGCCCTCTTTGCTACCACAGCTAGCTCGTGTCTCTTCATACTCCACTCGCCTTGGATGGTATCATGCTTGACCCCCTTGGATGGTTCATGCATGACCCCCCTTGCGCGATGTCATGCATGACCCCCCTTGTGCTGTGGGTCTCAACACTTAGCCAAATTTTGGCTTTATGTCTACGGGTAATTATCCGCAAGGTAGGTAGGCGACTGGTAGATCGAAAATTTGGCTAAGTATGATGGGGTGCCCACTTGGGTGGTTGGTGTTGAAGGGTGTCAAGCTTGACATGGTATGAAGCCCAAAATACCATTATTTAGGCCCAACCTACACCAATTTAATTAATATGGTTAAGTTGGCCTTATAAATCACTACCACTCCTTGAAAATAATCAATGTGGTATTGAGTGATATTTTTTAGTAGTAAACAAATGCCCCCCAACTACTTAGTGCATAAGGTTTATGTACTAAGTAGTTTATATAAACTAAACCACTTAGTCTCACACCTCGTTGGCTTTATTAATAAAACCAAATCCATTAGTCCACCTCACTGCATGCCCCCTGCCACTTAACT